GGCTATGTTGTCAAAGCATTATCTTTTTTGGAGAGCTTATTGCAGGTGCTGAAGTGCACAGTGGACAAAATAAATGTTTTAAAGATACTCCAAAGACACTATAGAAGGAATTTAATACTGACCATGTAAACTGGGAAGCTATGCTTCAAGAATGACATATCTGGCAAAACGTTGCCAAATAAGATACAGAAAATTTCAAATACTGTAAAGAGAATCTACAATACAGAAAGCAAGAATGTAACAGCTCAGCAGCCCAGCAAGTTGAAGAAAAATTTACATGTCCACACTGTTCCTGTGCTAGTTAAATGCCTGTGTGTTTTCCATTCTGTACTGTTAAACCTGACTTCTCTCTAAATGCAGAATCTCATGGAAATGCTCTTCTTCAAAGAAAAAGGTCAAACTACACTCATCTAATATTGGCCACGTTGAATATGGGCATAAAGTGTACCAGTTAAATGCTCCCTTAAGACCAATCCTTTGCAATCCATTTGTTTGTTTGTTTGTTTAAATTTGTATCCCAGTCCTATTAATGTCACAGCACTACTCTGGGTGGATAACAACTCATAAAATAGAAAACAAAAATAAAAATAGAGATATTAAAACCAATAGCAACAACCCTAAAAAACCATATGGCACCGACTAATCCCAGAGCAGATAGAGAAAAAGAGGGGAGGGAAGAAGAAGAGAGGAAAGAAAAGGGAGGGGGAGAAGGGGTCATATATCTAGGTACAAAATATATACATGCCCCCCATGTGAACTTCCCTATATTCTCTAAAGGGACATTTTATTTATTAAACATTTTGAAAAACAATAGCCCAAGCCCTTTCTCTGGCACACAAAATATTTTTAAAAACATAAAATATGAACAATAGAATATAATCATAGTCAAAATTTGCACAACACTTTACAGACAAAATTTCTTAAATCCACTCAGACTTGGATTTTGTACTTCACACAGGCCCAATAAACACAACTATGGCCCCATCTTGTCTTGATATTTTGCAATTTATGGAATATGAGGTTCAATAAAGATCGGATTCTTGGAGAGGTGAATGTCACTAATTGTAGGCTGGCCTTCAGCAAGGAGAAGGACAGATCAAGTGGACAAGGAGAGTGTTGAACACCTCCCTGTAAGAACATAGGGGACAGCAAAAGACTGCAGCATTAGGAGGGTAGTGTAAGTCATTGAACTAACCTTCTCCTGAAACAGAAAATAGGTCCAAACATTTTTAGTATGTGAAGAGAACACTGTTTCATTATTAGGGAAATTGAATATGAAGTGTTTGGTTTTAATAACTATATTGCTTAAGTTGTTTTATTGTTGTTGTTTTTAATGTTCTATATTGATTAGCAATCATCTGAAGCTCTATTCAGTGATGGAAAAGGCAGTTAATAATAGTAACAGTTTCCAAAGAAGTAGCTGTGTTAGTCAGCATGTTGGCAAAATTAAAAGGAAACAAAAATTTAAAAAGGGAAAGGAAGGAAAAACCAATGAGAAAATATTGTGGCACTTTAAAGACTAACACGTTTGTTTCATGTGAGTTTTCATGGCTGAAGTTCCACTTCTTCACACACAGTAACATTAACAGAAACAATAATACTATGGCTAAAGACTTATACTACCAGAACTGGCAGTGAAAATCCTCCCTGCAGATAGTTAATTCCAGTTATTTCACAGTTTTCAAAAGCAAAAAACTCACTGCACTTTCTGGAGGCCGGTAGAGGCCTATGCATTCTTTTCAAGAAAATAATGTTACTAATTAAAGAAAATATGAATGCCGAAACAATTATTTGTTCACAATTATTTAGATTGTTTACATATTTGGCAGCAGTCCTTTAGTGGGAGAGAACTATTTGACAGCCACCAAATACCAGTATAACATACAAACTGGAAATTACATGTACTGTAGTTCTTCCTAACACAAATATTGGATGAATGGGAAATAAAAATTAAGTGATAGTGCTTGTTGCTATGAGTTACTTATCAATTCAATGTGCAAAGTGATCGTAGCATATGTGCTATATGATTAAAATAAGTATGTTTCATGGCAGAATTCAAATGAATCAGCAATTGTGCATACATATACACAAAATCAACACAGTAACAGAGTGAGAGAGAGAAAACCTGAAAACAGCTTGAACCAACAGGACAAACAGGGAGATAGCATAAGTTGTACTATCTAAACTAGACACAGACTTGGACAAAATAAAGAGATTTTGCCATCAAATATACAACTTTGAAAGCACAGAAAGGATTGCTAAAAATTGAGTTGCATTAATAAGACAAAAGACAGGAAGAAGACACAGATGAATCTCAGACTACAATAAACACCCTATGTTCTCAGAGGTTTTTTGTCTGATCACTACTAACAATACTAAACCTAGAAAGAAAGAAAAAGAATCACATGGGATTACCGGGTATATATTTTTAGTAATGCCATGCAATCCCTCCCCACAAGCCCTGTGTGGTGATGAGATTCTTGCCCCAAACTGCATGCTAGAACTATCAGAGAGCAAAGCTAGTGCCCCTTCTGTCATAGTACTTTGTTGGAGACATATGCTTTGGTTTTTTCCTATATATAGGGCACGTGCACACTTGCACGTGCACGCTCGCACGCATACATACAGGTCTGAAACATGCCGATTCAAATCCAAAATTCATCCAAAGTGCATACACAACCCTAGACTCAGTAATGGATAGCCTGAATAAAAAAATGCATTCCCAGCTAGGCCTTTTCTCCAGGATAATCATATTTATATGTCTGTAGGTGTGGGTCTGGCAGGTGGAATCCCCAGAATGTGTGGGGGTACCATTCCCAAGGGAACATTGCTCTTATGCCTAATAAACACTATCATTGTCCCATTTTTAAGTGTGCACTTGCTGCATCCGGCAGGAAATAGCAGAAACATCCATTTGAAAAGGATGTTATTCATAGCTCTCTCTTTTTTTTTGTCCCAAAGCATCATCCCCACTCTCATTCAAAAGTTCAGAGGTACATGTGGATCCTGGTCTAGCCAAAGCAGCACAACAAACAAGTAAGAGGGAGATCTTGCGGGCTTGGGACATAGGTTTTGCAGAAGTACAAAACAATATTTAGGAAGAATGACAGAGATTCTTTTGGGATCAAAAAGACAACAGGTTTTATTCAACATTAGCTTTTGTGGACTTTAGCTTCTCCAGATGTAAAACTGGGCTGAAATCCATAAAAAGTATGCCAAATAAAATTTATTTATTTTTTGATATGCCACAAGGCTCTTTATTGTTTTTACTGCATGGCTACCCTCCTGAAAATATTTTGGAAAGGGTTCTATGTATGGGCTCTGGAAACATCCACTTAAGTCTGAGAGTATTCCACAGCCACCAAAACCTGACTGATTGCTGGGGGCAGGGGGAAGGGACAGACAAAAGTTCTTGCAGTCTGACTGACTGGAACTCTGGAAAGGATAATTACACACTCTGTTCTCTCTGAAGATGCCATTGGTTAGAATACAATTTAAAGCATGGCTCCTGCTGAAGTAATTATTTCATAAAGCATGGAATGAGAGTAGTTATACAGTGGTGCCATGCATAGCGACGATAATCGGTGCAGCAAAAATCGCTGCAAAGCGATTTCGTCGCTATGCGATTTTAAAAAGCCCATAGGAATGCACTGAAACCCCTTCAATGCATTCCTATGGGCTTCACACTCACCTTTAAACGAAAATCCTCCATAGGGCGGCCATTTTCGCTGCCCGGTAAACTAGGAATCCGTCCCAAAAAACAGCAGGCGGCCATTTTTTTTACCCGGTGGCCATTTTGGAACCGCCGATCAGCTGTTAAAAAATCATCGCTTTGCAATGATCGGTAAGCGAAACGGTACTGCTCATCGCAAAGCGATTTTTGCCCATTTAAAACATCGCAATGCGATCGTTTTTGTGATTGCAAAATCTTCATCGCTATGCGATTTCGTCGTTAAACGGGGCACCCGTTAAGCGAGGCACCACTGTAATATGTAACAACAGCAGCAACAGCAACAGTAATAGCTTCTCTGTGTATTTGCAAAACAGTACTTCTATGGTAAATAACTGTAAGACAGAGACTTAGAGAAATTCTCCTTTATTCTGCTGTAAGTGTTTACATCCTCTTTTTCCGGTGCAGGAGATGCTCAAAGCAGCTTACAACTAAAATATTAAAAACAATTAATACCCACCACGCTACATCCAAAGCAACATACACCAGAAAAAACGCTGTGCTTCCTTTCCCCAGTGTGGCTCCTGCCATACCCTCAATGTCCCTCCTGACAACTATTCTGAGGACTTCTTAGGAGGAGCACAGGAAAGGAATTAGCATTCAAGAGAGAGAAACTAGCACAGTTAGGAGCTTTGCTCTTATAAACTATCTCTGCCTATTTTAGCTCTTGCTCTTGGTCTAAATGCAATTCTTGGTGTTTTTTTCCTCCATAAACACATACAAGGGAAATATAAAGAATCAGCCATCTCTGTAACTTCCAGGCTACCTAAATGCTTTCAGGTACCCACTGTTAAAACCATACCTGAAAGTATTTCTACTTTGTCAGTTTCGGGAGATACTGTATGTATAAGGGGGCTGCACTGTTCAATAGAACAAATCCCAAAGCTCATTACAGGCACTGCACTGATATTGCAGCATAGACCAAGTACAACAACAAGTGTAAACAAAATAATGCCAGTCCTCTGATAAAAGAAAATTGGCCATGCATAAGGATTATGCAAAGCCAAAAAATACCACCTTCTTTTAAAAGCAGATTATAATTAATACATTTTGCATCCAGTCTGCAGGTTAAGTCTCTACAGTGCTGCTCACTTAACAAACAATAAGATGTAAAGAGTGCTAAGGCTGAGCTTCTTTCAGTCCTGATGGCAATCAAGAATTTAGAAAGTTGTCATTTGTTCCATAGAGTCAACTCAACACAGAGTTAATTGAGTCAACAGCATCTTCTGAAAGGCATACAAATCTCACAATAGCCAGTTTAAGAACTTACCAATTTCCCTTGCAATTCTGACAGCTTCATCTGCATCCTGTAAAAGCAGGAAATTAGACTTAACATTAATTCCATCAGCTACTGCTCTGTGTCTCTAGGGCAGTCGTATATTGCACTACTGTCTCCTCTGATTCATTTAATGTTTGATTTTACAACCTTCTGGTTGGCTTCATTCAGAGGAATGCAAAATTAATACCATAAGTGGGATGTAAATTTTACCTCACCAATGCATAACACTTAGGTTCTAAGCAATAGAAAATCAGCTGACAGAAAAAGCAGCAAAACTACAGAAAGATTTCTCAACTTGCTAGAATTATATAGTTTAGATTATTTCACTGAGAAGTAAACGGTAGAACACTGGAACATGTCAACAGGCAACTTATTCCTGTCCTCTCAGGTAAACACACATGTCATGTTTTCCTGGATACAGTCAGTAGGGGGAGATGACTCTCTATTGTTTGGCTTCAACATCAATACAACTCCTCTTTAAAAAAACTGAAAGGTTCATATGTTGTATTCACGGGTGTAAGTTGTTGTTTCATTGTTGTCTGCCAAAGACTTTTTAAGCCAGAGGAGAAATATTAATATTATGGTTTAAGAGCACATATAATGTAACTGAAAAGAATATTAATTACATAAATGAATACATTTGGTATTTTTTATTGACAGAACAAATTATTGTATTTGTCACAACTGGATAACAAATAACAAGCCTTCGCGAATACAAATAACAAGCTATCCAATTATATATGACAACTTTTTACATTCAACTTTACAATTAAAACACTGGATCTGTCATGCATATGAAGAGAACTGTCTAATAAGGATAGCAATGGTTAAGAATTTATATAATAAAAGTATCTTATGTCAGCTTCAATATAAACTGAGATACAGTTAGCACATTATGGTTTGTAATGCCAGCTTAGGACGGGACCATTTATTCAGTGGTAGAACACACTATTTTATGCAGAAGGTTCCAATCCCTGACAAAAACACACACAATCAAATACTGTTCAGAGTTTCTGAATGGTTAGTGAGCAATAGACTGACATACAACTATTGTCAGATATAAGCTAATTTTCCTATAACACAAACATTTGTCCATTATACCTCCACACATAAGACATGATAAATCTTGAAAGACTATCTAAATGTTCTAATATTTATGCTGTGCTGTAACATACAGTAAGAGATTTATGTCAATTATATGTCTATAGTCCCCTACTTGCTATATGTAGCCAAGTCCATAAGGGCTTACTTTGAACATTAAAATGAAAACTGATATTTTAAAACACTCAAATTTCTTTTCTTTCTTTCTTTCTTTCTTTCTTTCTTTCTTTCTTTCTTTCTTTCTTTCTTTCACCAATAACTGTAGCTCTCTCAAAAAGACCTTTAAAATGCTCTGAAGTATTTCATACCTGGTTCATTTTTTGTCAAACAATAAAACAAACTCTTCTTAGTACCTACTAAGAGTCCAATGAAGAGTAAGGAAGCTGGTACAGGAAGTTGTCAGAAAATTTAATTTCCTTTCATTAGCTAGTCTGCTCCACAAATGGGTGCTTGTTAAGTTCAAAGCAACCCTGAAAGCAACATCAGTTTTTAGACTTTTTTCCCCTTCAAGCAGGCACATCTGTTAATGAGATTTTCCAAACAACTATTTTAAGCCAAAAATAAGTCTACAAAAATGAATGAAATCAAGGTTTACTGTTACACCTTTTGCTTTCCACAACCTTGCAACCTCCATACATTCCAAGTTTTAGCTTAGAAGGATTTTTTAATGCATAAAAGGGTTCATTTAAGAATGTTAGTGGCTTCCACACATTGAGTCTGAAGGTTCTTTGTTCCTGTCTGTGACAGTTATGCGAGAATACTTCCCCTTAATAGCCTCTCTGTCAGGAAGTGTTAAACCTGCCAAATGCAGACAATTAGAGCCTCTTGAATAAAATGCAGGAAGACTGATGACTGATGAAGAGCCTCTATTAGAGCCAAAGAAGAAACTTTTACATTTCTTTTCTCTTGTAAATTCAGGCATAAAGTTGCTAAACAGAGTTTTGAAATAAATGTAACAAATAAGATCACCCCTCATCTCTATTTAGTTACCTGAACCAAGTGAGTAAGAGATACACCCCTGAAAACCCTTAAAGATGAAATCTATACATTGAACCAGGAAAACTGTGCTAGTTGTAAACCTACACCCCGTCAAAATTCTTTCTTTCTTTCCTTCCTTCCTTCCTTCCTTCCTTTCCTTTCCTTTCTTTCCTTCCTTTCTTCCTTTCTTTAACTTATATGTCGCCCACACTACCCAAAGGTCTCTGGGCGGCTTACAACAATTTGAAATCAATAAAAAGATAAAAACAATTAAAATACAATTAAAAAGATAATGCTCTAAAAATTACCATCAGAACCCACAGTTGATATTATTTCAATTAAAAACTTTGAAACAATAAGCAACCTCACATTATGCATCCTTCAACAATCTAAAAGCCAAAGATGGAGTCCTAAACAAACAGCTCTTACTTAAGCACCACATGTAACAATTTGGTAGAAGAATCTTAACTACTCTCTTCTTCTTCCCAAGTGTATAAATGTAATAATGAACAGAACCACTGGCCTGTATATCTTGAATAAGAAGTCTCCACAGGAGAAAATTTCTCTGACATGACACCAAGTGATATGAGCTCAAACTATCAAACATTATGTTTACAATTCCAGAGTTGTGTGCCATTCATGAAGCAGAATTCCAAAGCACTTCTCAGTTTCTTTAGATTCTAGTCCAAATGATTCATCTACATTTCACCAATCTGGTAAAGCAAGTATGGTATATGACCCATTAAGTGAAGCATGAATAGTTAGCACACCACTCAAGAGCAAATGAACTCTCTCCATAAAAAAGCAAATACATTCAAAATTTGTATCCTACTTGAGCACATTTCTATGTGTCAGCTTGGAAACAAGTTAGACTTTTTTTTCTTTCATCAAAAACTAACTCTTGAGCAGACAAAAAATTTAAACAATAGAATATCTTCAGGCACCTTAGAACAGGTGCCTGAAGGTATATGCTTTAACACATATGTCTGGGAAAAAACATTTGGATCCATGAATTGAGTAACCAAACACCACACTCACCCCTCATTCTCAACATACCCTGATATTTAAGCAACAAAGACTATGAAGCTTTGTGATACAGTTCTTAATGACAAGGCTCCTGCAGGTATATGGCAGAGGTGAACGATGTATGGTTTCCCAGTTGGATTGCAACTTCAGTCTCCTTTCACCACTGGCTATGCTTACTAGGGTCAATGAACACTGTGGTACAACAACTCATGGAAGGCCACAAGTCACCAACCATGGAGTAAGGAATACCATATGGGCAAGCTGAATCAAGACACATTGCACATCTCAGGAATCCTTGCAATATTAAAACATGTTCACTATACAAAACACAACCTACCCGAACTACGAATGCTTTATCAGCTGATAATAATGCTCAGACAGTATTATCAAATGACAAGTCATGGGAAAACACAGTTAGCTATTTTCCAAGAAAAGTTTTCTTACCTTGACTACCCCATCATAACCAGGTATTGTGTTGACTTTTGCATTCTTGGCTAAGAGTTTGCTTTCTATCTTGTCCCCCATTGCTTGAATAGCATGCATGTCTGGTCCAATGAAAGAAACATCTTCAGATGCCTGAAGAGATAAAGAAATCAGCAGGATTTATTCCCAGAAACAATTAAATACTATGACAAATTTTTACTTGGGAAATATTCTAAATTTATGTAAGCATTAAAAATGTATATGGGCTTGTTAAGCCTATATGGAACACAGGCTCAAAGCTCCCATAATTACTGTTTGTATAAATCAAAGCCAGACCAAGGAAAAATAGCTGAGAGCCATAAAGTATTCCAGCCTGAACATTTGCAAGATCCCTTGAGTGAGAAAAAAACAGTTAACTCATGATTCAAGAAGCCACAAGTGGCCTACAAACGTATGTTCACTGATGTATAATACAGTTCAAGATTTCATTTTGCATTCTTTAAACAAGCTTCACACAAAGTGGAAATGAAATTCCTCTTATAAGTGTTCAAGACATACAAGACAGATGTCTAAAATATTCAGGCACTGCATACATAATCAAAAGCCTATACAGGTACAAGCATCATATCATGTTCTTGTTCACTTCACTTCAAATCCACTTTAGGATTTGTGATGCTTTATAAACATTATTTGTATCCAAATTATCCCAATTTGCATTCAGTTTATTCTTATAACTGTAGTTTAACAACTCTTCTCATAACATGCTTTTATCATAGCTATTTTTCTTACAATATCATTTCTCCAATTCTTTTCTTTTCTTTTTCATGGCTTATAGCGAAGCAGGAATAGGGAATCTATGGTCCTCCCATAATCCTTCACCACTAGATTGTTTAGCAGTAGCTTCAACAATATCCTAGAGAACCTGTTGGTTTTATAAGTCATGCATGCAAAATACTCCTGATGTTCGTGTAAACATTCAAAATCTTATGTAGTGGATAAAACAGAAGAGAAGGCACATCTACATGACTTTTTTAGTAAAATGACTTCACATATGGAGTTTTAATTAAAAAATTAGCCAGTCAGACAAAACAATTATTTACCACATGTTTTTAAAAAATCCTATATATTGCTCTGCTCTACATCAAACTCAATATCCACAGATCAACATATTCAGGCAAATACATTACAGTACTGACTTTTGTGTAACAACCTCCTTCAAGCACATCCTCAAGGCTAATTTTTTCAGACAATTATTGGAACAAACTTTCTAGTCCAAAAACAGTGTAATAAAGCCAAAATATATATAAATAAAACAAACACTTCTCTTCCCAACTCTCCAATTGCTCCTAATCTGTTTTTAGATTGTAAATAACACAGGGCACAGTTCTTATCTGTTTCATTTTCTAGGTCATGCTGCTTAAAATAGTAGTCAAGAATACAGGGAATCCTACAATCCCTTCAAAATTGCAGTTTTCAGGCTTTCAGAATTCACTGGAACTTTCCATACGGACATGTATGTCTAAAAGCCCTTGAACATCTTCTGGAAAGTGCCTCACTGCAGATTCTGAGTTCACGTGGGGTCCTAAGTAGGCTTTTTTGGCTTCGTCAGTTGATGTGATCTCGTAGAGATGGGGATATTTGTATACGAATATATTCCCCCACAGGTGCAGATAACGAGGGTCCAGCCCTCTGGGACCAAACCAACTACTTATGATTCTGCCACTGCCACAAGCTCCGCAGTGCCTTCCTATTGCGCCGTTGTTCACAATGGATTAGCCACTCCTGGCAGAAGGTGGGATGATGAGCCTCTCTGCCAGGTTGCAGAGTGGCTAATCCATTGCGAGCAATGGAGCAATAAATAGGAAGGCACTGCGGAGCTTGCAGCAGCAACAGCGGAATCGTGAGTGGTTGGTCTGGCCCAGAGGGCTGGACCTTCGTTATCTGCATCTGTGAGGGGGGATATTCGTTCGTATACGAATACCCCCATCTCTACAGTGCAACTTACAATAAGAGGGGTTCATAACACATTATATTATGGTCTCAAATACAATAATACCTTGCTTAGCAGTTAGCCAAGAAAATAAACACTAACCAAACAAAATTAAATGGGATCTTACTCAGCAGAGCTTCAGCGACCTGCTCTTAGGCATGGAAAAGTGGCAGCTCTATGGACAACTGTGCAGGGGAAAAGACACATCTGCATCTTAGTCATGTAGTCTCCAGCTTGCCTTCTTACACAACAGATATGGTCACATACAAATGATGCTACTATAACAGCTGCTAAAGTGGCAGGTAGCAGACAAATTAGCCCACAGATGCTCTAGCAAGGCATTACTGAGCTACCAGAAGGAATGCCAGTCAGCATTTCTGAGCACCACAAAACAGTTATTCAAGCATGTGTGCTATGACAAATCAGTGCTAAATAGGGATGCTCTGTGTAGGGTATTACTGTATCAAATTTTCATATCCCAAAATAAAATTCTGGTAGCTGGATATTCAGTACTCCCTGAACCAGGGATCTGGAGTACAATTCTCCAACATGCCTCCTGGGAGAAGAGCCATCCTGTACAGTCTTGACTAAGTTGCACAGTCCCTGAGCACTCCAAGAAGAAACAGTAAACCATTTCTCAGTTTTTAATACCAAGAAAACCCCATATAGACTGCCACTATGTTAAAATTGACTTGATGGCACATAATTAATTAGCAGCATCACTTTTGTTAAGACATCTGTCATCTGTCGTTTTGTTTGCAAAAATTAAGAGATAATGTAACAGAATTTAATCAGCTTCATCTTATATGGTATCTCAAATAAATTCTCATACTTATTTATTTAGAAAACGCTACAATTTATTCATGATGAAATTCAATGCTGGGATTCTAGATTATTAAATCCAATACCAACAGCTAACCCTTGTTGCACTCGGGAAGCAGATTCACTATATTATTGACACATATGCTCATCCTACCCACTCAGGACTGAGCACGAGAGAAATGACTTCTGAGGCTTTTGCAATAGAATTAGCTAGGCTCATTGCTGACTCACTGTAATCCCTGATACTCCTCTTGCCTTTCAATGGATTGCAATAAATTGATTGTAAATGATAATACAGTGCTAAATGGCTAAATAAATGCAGAGATGGTCTAGCTGCACTGTTTTTAAAAGCAGCTATCCGTTTATAAAAGTTTATAAACTACTTCAAAAGAAGACAGAGAAGCAATCCCACATGCTGGCCAATCAACACTGCAAAGAGACACCAAAAGTTTCATATCCTGCAACTATCAGAATCTGGTTTTATTTCACTAACCAAAGAAAAAGAAGATATATGGTAGCTTCCAGATTCATCTGTACACACACCACTTGTAAATCCTACAAAACTGGAGGAATAGGAAAAAGCAACACCCTGAAAACATGAAGTCAGGTCTAATTCAGCAGTAAAGCACATGCTCACACTGCAGAGTTCATTGTTTAAAACTTTCAAAAGCCACCTTGGAAATACTTACCCTTAAAGCAGGGTATAAAATAAAAAGGTATGAAAAGATATAGATAAATAAATAAAAGGAAATTGAAATGAAATAAAACAAAAATTTGTAACAGGGTAGAAAATGACAAAGTACTTTCAATGATAGACCAAAACTTTGGAGATGCAGGTTCAAGTTCTGATTAAGTCTTGAAACTCAAGGGACATCTTTTGTTAGCTTACTCACACTTCCTCTGAATTAACCTATGGGCTTTTGAATGTCAGTGTGATGTGGCAACTAGAATGCTGGACTAATACTTTGGAAACATGGATACAAATACGGACAAAGTCAAGAAATTCACTAGCACCCTAGGCTGATCGTACTTTCCCAATCTCACCTACTCTACAAAACTGTTCTGAGAATAAAATGGGGAGAAAGAAAGCCACGTGTGCCACCTTGAACTCATCACAGGAATGTAGTGGATAGAAATGTGACCCTCCCAAAAAAATTTTTTCCAAAAGACAAAGGGTCTCAGCTTCAAAACAAGCTGTTTCCATGAAAAATAAAATTGCAACTGTATGTTTTTCTACACTGAAGAACAAACAAATGAGGAACATACAAATGGTCAGGAACTATATTAAGACTTGTTTTTTAAGCACTGGATTTTGTATACAGTACAAAATTTTAAGTACACACCATTATGAGCATTGTTCACAGGACAGCTTTAGAAATGCTGGACAGAAGTCCTTCTAAATCTATAAGGGCTTTAGACAGCATATAAAGTAGGCTTAGGTATAGGTATAGGTAGAAACAAAGTGAAACACATAAAGAATTTTCTATAATGTTTTCCATTTTCCATATAGCTTTTTTCCCCACCTCCTGGCATTGAAACCATTCATAGTTTTACATGAGAAAAGAAATCTGTGGAATTAATCCTAGAAACTTCTTTCTGTTTTCCAGTATAACACCTCCAGGCGACAGTGAAGACAAAATGCTTCATTTGCATCCTTAAACATCAGTAACCTTTTCAGCTGCAAATGTTATAGCATCTACATTTCCAGAAAAGGGGGAGGGGAGGTTAAACAGTCTATTTAGGCTTATGTTAACTCATCTCTTTTTAGTACCACTGATATGAAGACATGAGAATGTGGAGACAGAAGAGAAGACAGGGGCTTAAAAGCCCTGTCCTCTTTCATCATGGTCTTCAGCTGTTTTCTGGAAGTGAATACAGTTGCTAATTACATAAGGAGTTAGGAAGAAATCAGGTAGACTATAAAGGAAATAGCAAACATTAACAATGTAGCTTCCAGTTTTTCCAGCCCCCTAGCTTTGAGTAGTCAAGATTTATTTTTACAAAAGTAAAAACAACACTGCCAACTTGGTTATACAATATTGTCTGAGGTGACAGACTTTATATTCCTAAGACTTTACATTCCAAGGAAAAGTTTGCACTTCTAAGAATTTTGAACTGGGTCCTGATTGCTGAAGTATCATGGCACCTGTTTGTCATCTTTGTCCTCTAATACTGCTTGTTAAAATGCTAAGATCAAATACTAGGAACAACTAAGCTGAATTTACAGAAAATGACAAAGACCAATATAGCAACATCCATCTAAGATCTATATAGGCCTTTTGTTGTCTTTAGAAGTTGATTGCACTATCATACAATTTTGGCAGCTGGCTAAGATCTTGAC